AGTAAGGGCTTGTCTGGCAAGCACAAGGTCCTGAGTTCAATCCCTGACACCACAAAAAAAAAAAAAAAAGTTCAATATATATTTCATGCTAAAAGAACAAGTAATATGTATTACTTTATCCTGGTTACAAGCCTATTTTATAGGAGAAAGTACATAAAATATAGAAAAATGCTGATAGACACACACTGCCTTAATCATTAAGTATTCCTTTAATGTACCTTGGAGAATAAGCTTTGGGACGTAGAAAGATGACTGCATACAAAGAAATTCTTTTTTTTTTCTTAGCCTAATACCAATTCTCAATGAATAATGCCCCAAGTCCCTTTCTTTAAGTACAAATCCTCCTTTCTCCCATGCCCAAATAACCAGATCTCTGATGTGTGTAATACTGAAATTTACATCTACTTAAATAATTCCGGAAGGCTAGGCTGTCTCTAAGAAAACTGCTGTTCTTCTATCACTGAGATTAGTATTTTCCTTGTACACCTGCTGTTCCTTTATCTTCAGATAATCTACAAGAGAAGCCTGAATGCCTGCATTTCTTTGCAAACAATGTAAAATTTCTTACTGCTGAATTTTATCTCTTATTTTTCTCTAACAGCAAAGAAAAACTTTTGTTTTGCATGGAACACCATCAAGCAGCCATGGAGGACAATTTGTGAAACACTTATCAAATATAAATGAGTATGCTAGTGGTGGAAGGGAGCACTGAGGATTGAACCTAGAGCCTTCACATTGAGCAATATCCCAGACCTTTTTGACTTTCAAATTTTGAAACAAGGTCTTGAGAAATTGCTCACAATAGGCTCCATTTTGCAATCCTCTTGTCCTCAGCCTCCCAAGTGTGTGGAATGCCAGAATGTACCACCCTGCCTACCAGATAACTCATGTTCTCACTCTCTTTTTGTCTCTCATGAGGTATTAGTGGGAAGCAACTTATTGCACCCACAGCCCCTAAAAATGCATATCTACCACTAATTTAATTATGTGAACCAAGAGGCTACAAACACACCAAAGATACGATTTACTACTTGTTTGCTATTAGATATGAGTCTGAAGTTTGATTATTATATCTCATCTTATTTCAACCATATTTCTATAAAATTCTACAATTACTGTTCCATATACCCAAAGTTAACCATTTTTACTTTCATGATAGATTATATTCTAATTCTTAAAAAAATTTTAAAATGTATTTAGTACAAGATCTACAGGGTCTCACTACACAGATCGGACTCCTAGTGATCATCCCATTTTCAGCCTCCCAAGTGCTGGGATTATAGGCATGTGCAACCACACCCAGCCTCAATGTCTCAGTGCACCCCAGGGGGTGGGGCCAGCATAGCACGCCAGGGCTTGAACCCCGATCCCTACATCTGCCTAAGCAGGCACTTTAATCCTCTGAGCTATCTGGCCAGCCCTGATTAAACTCTGATTTTTAAAACTGTAAGATTACTAGTCTCCAAAGAATATCTTCCAAACATCTTAACTTTCTATACTTTCTAGTGTTTTTGGTGTTTTGAGAAAAGGTCTTGCTATGCAGTTCAGGCTGGCCTTGAGCTTACTATGCAGCTCAGGCTAGCCTAGAACTAGTGATGATCCTCCTGCCTCAGCCTTCCAAATACAGGGATTAGAGGCATGCACCCCATACCTGACAAAACTATCTTCTGGAAAGAAAAAAACCAACACATTTTCAGCCCTCCTGAAAATGATGCAGGACTATTATTCCAGCAAATCAGTACACTGAAACAGGCAGATCTCAAGCTTATGGCAAGCCTGGGCAATTTAGTGAGATCCTGTCTCAAAATAAAATGTGTGGAGGATACAGTTTAGTATATACAAGGCACTCACCTAATATGTGTGTGGCCTTGGATTTAATCTCCACTGTTAAAGAAGAAAGAAAATGAAAAAGAAAGAAAACACACACATTTTTTTTTTTTTTTTTTTTTTTTTGGCGGAACCAAGGATTGAACTCAGGCCCTTCTGCTTGCCAAGGAAGTGCTTATTCCACTTAGCCATTTCCCCAGTCCCTTCCCCATTTTTATGTAAAAGACATTTTTAGGCCAGGCATGGTGGAACACTCCCAACACTCGGGAAGTTGAGACAGGAGGATAACATTTCTTTTTTTTTTTTTTTTTTTTTTTGGCAGAACCGGGGATTGAACTTAAGCCCTTGCACTTGCCAGGGAAGCACTTATCCTAGTGACCCATCTCCCTGGCCCCTAGGAGGTTAACTGAGAAGTCTGAAGCCAATATATGTTATACAGTGAGTTCAAGGCCAGCCTGCAGTACAGAGTAAGACCCTGTCTCAAAACAAAAAAAAAAAAATACAACAGCAAAGACATTTTTTAGAAATTAAAACATTAACTATAATCATTTCCATCAAACCTACAAGTAACTTACCGTGGGGCGATGTATAACACGTTCACCAGAGTGTCATCAGTCATTGACTTGATTTTATTTGTAGTTAAGTTATACAGAGTAGAAAACTGGGGGTGGTCTCTGACACACTTGGCGTTTTGTAATGAGCTGGCTTTCTGCCTTTGAAGCTGCCAAAGCACATTAAATGCATGTCCCACTTGCTTTGCTGAAAGTGTGGCTTTGTTTCTTTCAATGAGATCAAATATTTTCTCTTCATCTGTACACTTACTCATCTGAATAATTAGTGGTTCGTAACTGAAGGGTTGAAACCGAAACACTTTCCAGAAGAATGGACAAGTTGCTCTTAGACGAAACATATTTAGATCCAATGAGTCTAGTATCCTTAGATAAAGAAAGCCATCTGCAGCTAATGGCATAAAAATAATTTCATGATTTTGTTTCCCCTATGATGTCTCTAAATCCATTTCAATACGTAGTTTCTGTTAAAAAAAAATGATTTAGCATGGTTATTTGTACCTCATTAATAGCAACTTTCTCACAAAATTCAAACTACAGTGCAGAGGCTGCAAGCGAGATGCTGGTGGCCATGGGTCCTACAGACAGTCCCAGCCAAGCTGCTTCAACTGCATGAAGATGAGTTTTGTTATGGGTTGTGCCGTAGGAATGGCGGCTGGGCGCTCTTTGGCACCTTTTCCTGTCTCAGGATTGGAATACGGGGTTGAGAGCTGATGAGTGGCATTGGGAAAACCATGATGCAGAGTGGTGGCACCTTTGGCACATTCATGGCCATTGGGATGGGAATACGATGCTAATCAGGGCAGTGGTTGCCTGCTACATCTACACCTTCCCATCCATCCCAAATCCTGTACTATAATAAAAGTCTTTCTTCTCAAAAAATAAAAAAATAAAATTTGAAATTACAAGTAACAAGTATTAACAGGCTTTGTTCTTAATCTATATCTGATAGCAGGATTTTATCCAAAATTAAATATCCAGAAAAATGGGCTTCTATCTGGATCTCATATTTTTTCAATCATATTTTATTGGTGCATTTTAGATATGCCTAATGATCACATTCATCATAGAGAATTTGTACTTATATAACTTTTCCCATTCCCCACCCTCCTTTCAACCCCTTCCCCCTCTCCATTCACAAACTCCTTTGTTTTCACATTTTCTTTCTTTTCTCATCCTTTTTCACTTTTCCCTTCTTTCCTTTCCCCCTTTCCTCTCTTTTGTTCTCAAAATACCTATGATACATTTTCAAACCTTATTTTAAAAAAATGTTTAAATCAGGGCTGGCCTGATAGCTCAGCAACTAAAGTGACTGCTTAGGCAGAGCTCAGCAGCTGGTTCGATTCCAGGTGTGTGGTGTCACACCCCCCCCCCCCAAGGCATATTGAGGTGGCAATTGAGACTGGGTGTGGTGGCCCATGCCTGTAATCCCAGCACGTGGGAAGCTGAAAACAGGAGAATCACTATGAGTCCAATCTACATGGTAAGAAAAAAAACCCAAAACTACCTTTACTTAAAGTTTCCAAATTTAACCATAAAAAGAGGAAGGGGCCAAGGAGATGGCTCAGTAGAATAAGCACTTCCCTGGCAGGCGCAAGGGTGTGAGTTCAATCCCCGGTTCTGCAAAAAAAAAAAAAAAAAAGAGGAAGAAAAAACCCTATAGTTAGAATGGTCTTCCTCACCCACTTTGTTGTACCAGGGAATGAACCCAGAACTTTGCACATACTATGTAAGTGTGCTATCCTCAAGCTCTCATAACTGTCTTTTTAAGTAAAATTATTTGAAATCACAATATCACCTTTAAAGTTTCTAAAGAGTAGCCATTAATTCAAGTTCTTTTCAAATTTTGGGGAAGAGGGTTGAGACAGGGTCTTGCCATATAACCTAGGCTATCCTTGAATTCAAAGCAATACTGCCTGATCCTCTCCAGTGCTGAAATCACAGGCATGAACCACCCCACCTAAGTTTAAAACAAACTTTGAGAGACTTTCTTGCACCTTTCTTCTTATACTCTAAAAGAACTCAAAAACAATTTAATCTTTATTGGGTTCATAATGGAGATGCTTACTGAACTATTCACGAAGTATTTTTAAATCAAGTAATGTTTCATGATATTACTATATAAGAACCAAAGATTATGAGAAAGGATTTACTTGAAAAATATATTCTAGCCACATATAGTGGAGCATGCCTATAATCCAGCACTCAGGAGGCTGAGGCAGGATCATCCAGCCTGGGCCACATAGTGAGTTCAAGGCCAGCCTAAACTACACAGTGAGACCCTGTCTCAAAAACCCAAACAAACAAACAAAAAAAACCCAAACAAA